ACCCACAAGTTGTAGAGTCCATAAGAATTAGTTGTGACTGATCCGCTCATTAATATTTATTTTACATATGCAATGTGTCAACTGCTTTGTCCTTAGCTGGGGTGATACTCAATAAGGTTGGATTTGAAAGGTTAAGTGATCTGTTAGCATTTGAATGATCTTAATTCCTTTTTCTGGCAAATCTGGGAAAAATGGCTCAATTCACTCATGCTTTCCAACAACTTGTTTAATATTGTTAACCCTAGTAGTTTGAGTCAGGCCTTTCTTTCTAACGCATAAATATTTTTTCTCAATGATTTTCCTTATAAAATGAAAATTTTACTTGCATCTTGCATGATTCAATCTCTTCTTCTCACTCACAATTTCCTGATCATCTATGTCAGGGTGACTGTTAAACGTCATTTACTTCTTGCTGTTTTTCTGTTGTTGAGTGGACATCGCGCCCCTCTTCCTATTTATCATGTCCAGTAGGAGAGTTTTTGTTTTAATTCATCATTTCAGGTCAATTCAACACTGGCTTTTGAGCCTTCACCCCCCCTGAGTGTGAGGACCTCATGGCTGAAATGAAGAGTTTTTGTCCTCAAGGAGCACAAGATTTTATATGGAAGCTTCACATAATCCACTAATTTTAACACATGGCAGCGTGACAATTTCACGTTGGAAAGAAATACACGCAGATAATGTGCTATGGCAGCCCAGAGAGCAGTTGCAACCTGGGTGATCAGGAAAATCTTCAGAGAGGAGGATGCATCGGGTTGAGCCCGTATTGCCTGTAACAGTGAAGAGGTATCGTTTACTGCTACCAAGGACTGCGCTCAGCCTCTCGTGTGCATTTTCTTGTTCCATACTCACAAGAAGCTTGCGAAGCAGACACTGTTATTATCCCTACTTTGCAACTGGGCAAACACAGGCTGAGAGTTCGAATGACTTCAACGGTCAAAGGCGGTTCTTACAGCCTCCCGAACCCCTCCCCTCACCACTCCACCATGCATAGGCTTCTTTGGCTGGGTTTGCCAACAGGCAGAGGGTGGGAAGTTTTCCAGCTGCACTTCCATGTTTGCTGGACAATCGGGGGAAATGGAGTCTGTGATGGCAGGACTGTGGAAGCCTACAAAGTAGGATAGGAATGGTTCTCAACTACCAAGAGGGAGCTTCCTACGCATAATTATCACTTAATCCTCATAAAAAATCTTGAAAACTGGATGTTATTACCCCAATTTTTACAACGGAGGAGACTCAGAGAGGCTAAGTTTGCTTGCTCGAGGCATCAAAGGATGTTAAAAAACAGAGATTTGATAGAAAGTCCTGAGGATTTCTCTCCCACCTCTCAAATCCATTAAAGAGGGAAAAGGAGATTCCGCAAACCCAGCCAGAGACTTACGAGGTTTTTATCCATAACTATACCTTTGCTTCCTTCCTTTCTCCAACCCAGGACCATCGTGCAAATTAAAAATAATTTTTAAAAAATCTTAGATCGCTTCCATCAAACTGCCTTCCTATTGTCAGTTGGAATATTAGCCATCGGATCGCAAGTGGGCCAAGAGATAGAAATGAGAGTAGAATAATTCTCACCATGACTTCCCAGGATGAGTAGTACTTTCCACATTTTACAAATAAAAGACCTTACACTCAGAGAATGAATAACCTTAGCCAAAGTCAGATAGCGATTAAGGGGCAGAAGGAATGAGAGGATCATTGGGTAATATTGACAGGGCTTACCGATACATAAGACACACTGTCTTCAGATATTTGCCCCAGCTTTCTCTGGACCATTCTTCTAAAGGATTCAGAATCAAAATCTGTAGATGAGTCTCCTTTCTCAGAATTTAGATTCAGGGTTTTCTACTCCTTGTAGGATTTGAGGAGCTTTGTATTCGACTTGCCATACATGATAACAAGTGCCCCTTTACCAATCTCTAATGAAGTATCCTCAGAACAACCCCATCTTTACCCCTACTCTACTTTAAAGGCCATTTTAGCTGATGAGGATCATTTTTACAAAACGGTAGGAGAATTCCCATGATTCCATGGCCCTGGGGAGACGCTACAAAAATGTGCTTCCATCTTTCTCCCCCCAAAGTGAAAATTGCGTGTTTCCTAGCTGGCCATAGTGTATAAATGCCCATGCATCTGCTGGGTGGCCTGACAGGGCTGGTAATTTATAGAGCAGCTCTCCATAATGACAAGTGCTCAGAAGAAGCAACTGACGACCACGAATGTCAAAGTGTTACTCAGAGGTGAAGTGCTGTCACTAAACTATGTGGATGGTCTAAAACATCTCAGGGTTTAAAATTCTATAATAGCAACAATGAATATTTATTGAGCATCTATTATGGCCAGATACCCTGCTAGAAATGAGATTTAAGAATGAATAGCATAACGTCTCTACTTCCAATGACCTTACAAACTAGAAGAAGCTTCTAGGAAATAAAACAGGCAAAAAAAAATTGGGGGAAGTGGTGTAATATAAACACTTGACACAGGAGGACATAGGAGGACACAATGCAGCTGGGAGGGGCAGGCAAGGCTTCCCAGGGGAGGCACCATCCAAGCTGAAGTCTGCGGGGTGAACTAGGGTGAGGCCAGTGCAGGGGGAACAGGGCATAGAGAGTGTGTTCTGTGCCGTGGGAAGATCAGGCAAAGGCCAGGAAGTAAGAATGATCATGGTATTTTTAGGGACCTAAAAGTAATTCATGTGGCTGAATCACACAGCCCCCGGGAAGAAGCAGGGGAGCACCATGAGAGCACAGCTCCTAATCTTCCTCAGTAACTGATCCTTTTCTGCAACCAGTAATTTAATGGTGACTTCGAGGTTTCAGAGACGGAAGCTTTGTTAATGCTAAGGGAATGTTAGAGACGGAAAGGGCCTTTCATCTAATCCAATCCTCTTACTTAACAAATGAGGAGACTGGAGCTCAGAGAGGTTTGGTGACTTACCCAGGATGCCCAGCAGCTTTACTAAGTACTTTTGCTTTAATAAATGCACAAGTATGTTACCTTCCTGGATGGGAAGAACACATACTGTCAATGAGAGTACTTTTTCCAGAACCAGGTATAGCATTCCTATAACACAAGGTAAAGTGGCAATGGCATTACTTATAAACGGTCAAACAAGTCATTCCAGAAATCAGTGACACTTAGTATTTGAGTTATTCAGGGTACTTGTCTAGTGCACAGTGCATTCTAGACAGAATGGTAGAATGGAAGAGATATAAAACATTCCCCCTAACACATGAGGTGCTTGCATATGTTACAGTCTACTTTTCATGAGTATGACTATATTGTAAGAATAGGCTTTCAGAGGAAATGTTCTTATCCTTAATATCGTTCATCAATCTGACAAGTGGCCAGCAAGCTAATTTAAAGGTAAGCCTTGAGATGAAAGGAAATCAGCAAAGCACTGTCAGCTATCCCCGACTCAGAGCCTCCCATCCTAGCCCCTAGAAATACTTACCGCGTTAGTTAGCTCTTCTTCCTCCCGACTGCGATAGTAATTAATGCTTACATAATGTCTTCTAGCCTGGGAGCTCTAAGGGATTTACTAACATTACAGTGCTCGGTTTGCTTGATTTCTTTCTGATTAGCCCTGGGAAAATGTCATTTCTCGTTGCTCGGGAAAATTACTGCCCCTCTCAGTTTAAGGCCCCCACAGCCTGATTCATCGTTCTCAGGCCAAGAGAGGGAGCTGCCTACGCCGGAGGGGCAAACTGAGACAGGAGCAAGGCAGAGACTCTGTGGGGCACCTAGGACACTGTGCGGCCGATATGGCAGTGTTTGCAGAAGGCTCTGACTACCCAGGTCAACGCTGTGAAAGTGCCCCAAGTTTAAGCAGCCTCATGCACCAGCCTGCCTGCCGTCTCTGTATACTTTAAGTATTGTAGTTTGCAATCGTGAGCTTCCTATAAGCCAACTTTGAAGTTTCATGGGTGTCACACTAAGGATCGTGTGTGCGTGCACATGCATTTGTACGTTTAGCTCCTAGTTAGCAGGACAAGTCCGTGGACAAAGGGTGCACAGTATGGGATACCTCCTTTCAGAACTATGCAGTCTCACTTGTGGGATGTCCAAACCGAGAAAATAGATTACTTCTATAGGAAAATTAGCATTTTATACTCCACTCCCTTAGCACTTTTCCATCATTTGGATAAGCATCTAGTTTTGGAGCTAAACTCAGACTGCCTCATAACTATAGGGAAGGGGGATGAGATGGTAAATTTTGAAGGGAGAATTCCTGGGTTCAAATCCCAGGTACTCCGCTACCTGGCTGTGTGACCTCAGGTAGTTAGTTAACCTTTTGCTATCAAACAGTTTTCTCATTTCTAAAGTGTGTATGATCCCATCTCAAAGGGGTGTCGTGGAGGTTAAATGTGATAATGAACATAAAGAGCTCAGTACGGGTCCAGCACTTACCTCGCAGACAGCATCTTCTGCTGTATCCATAAGGGGGCTGCTGCTCCTGTAGTTGCTCACAGAGTTAAGCCAAGTAACTCTTGGCCTTTGTAAAAAGGAGCAGGATTTTTTTTCTCTGTTATGGTAATCAGGATTTTTTTTTTTTTAAAAAAAAAAGACTTATAAACTGAGGCTTGGCAAAAAATAATGTTTATTCTCTCAGGCCCATTTCCACTAATAACTGCCCCCCTACACACACACACACACACACACACACACACACACACACTGCTTTTGTATTGCTTTATCTTCTCCTGATCTCTTTCAAGCAAGATATTTATATGATTATTATAATAGATTGCTCCTAAAGGATTAGGGTTTAATGGAGAACTCTTATCAGCATTTGGTATCAAAACCAAAATCTCCTTATGCTACATAACAGTTAGCATTATTTGCCAGTTACAAGGTGCCTGAGACTTTTACATATGTTGACTTAATTTAATTTCTCACAACAATCATATGAGGTAGAAACTGTTAATTCTCCTATTTTTCAGAGGGGGAAACAGAGGCATTAATTAATTTGCTTGGGTTATACCACCCTGTCTTCCCAGGGGCCGCTGACGGTCGGAGCCTATGCAAGGACTAAAGCGTGAGGCTGCATTTGGGAGGTGCAAACCCAGGAGAAAGTGAGGTGAGGACAGAGGCCATGGTCAGCACACAGGGTCGCTGGGAATCTGACTCTCTGGAATGCAAAGAGAAAGCGTGCCTCCGAGCAGGGCATGGAGGGAAGAAAAGAGACATTTATCGGCCCACTTCTCTCCAGCTCTCATTCCCTTTTGGTCGAGGTTCCCTCTTCTCCTCCCCAGGGGCTCACTGCCCCTCACTGCCAGGCTCGCTGTGCGGCCCTCAGCTCAGCAGCTGCTCAGGAAGGCGACTCTGTGATGCCCCATCCATGTGAAAATGCTGGGGGGCAACTCGGTGCTGGTGGGGTGCTGTCACAGACAGAAGGAAGGTGGTTGAGAGCAACTGGCTGGCAAGGACTCTGCGGGATACAGTCAGGTGTAACTAGAAGGATGATGTATCACCCCAATGCTAGAACCCCCTCAAACCTGACCGTTAGTTTTGTAGGGATGTTGTAACAAATCACCACAAACCCGGTGGTCTGAAACAACATAAATTTACTTTCTCACCATTCTGGAGACTAGAAGTCCAAAACCAAGATGTCCTCAGGCCCACGCTTGCTCCAAAGGCTCTGGGCAAGAATGTCTCCTTGCCTCTTCCTGGCTCCTGGAAATCCTCGGAGTTGGCTCATGGATGCATCCCTCCAGTCTCTGCCTCCCTCTTCATTGCATCCTCTCCTCCGTGTCCTCTCCTCTTATGAAGGGGACCAGTCATTGGCCCACGAGCCCACCCTAAATCCCGGATGATTTCCTCTTGAGGATTCTTAACTCATTACATCTGCAAAGATCTTTATTCCAAATAAGGTCACATTCTGAGTTTCTGGGTGAACAGAAATTTTGTGAGGACACTTTTTAACCCACCACACCGGGCCTTAGAAAGCCATCAGTGCTATTGGCTATAGTGAGATAAACAGATTAAGTGTGCCCTAGCTTGAGAGAGAACAATGACAATTTGGTGCCTCTGTGAGACATCAGGTCAAAAGTCTTAAAATCAAAGTATCTCAGGATGTATTAATAATTGATAAAGTCAATAGCCGCTAAGGATTGTGAATTATATAGTGCACTTACTTTGGGATGTCCAACTGAAATGAGCTGTCTGATCTAGCCATTCTGTCACAAAAATAGAAACATCAATGCAGAAGCCATCTAAGTAGGTTACAGACATCTGTATATACACATACACACATATGTAAATACAGAATGACAGAGGGAGAATATAAGTTTTACGTGACACTGCTTATGATATTATTATATCTTTATATTATATATTTATATTATACATATATTGCTGAAAGGCCGGAAGTTCTTTGCATTTCTGTGCAATTGGAGGCTTTTCTTTAGGTTGCTTTGGTTTACAAAGCATGACACTTTTTGCAGTTTTGCCTCTTTACTCCATGAATTATATTTTTTTTCCCTAAAGCCATCTCATTTGACATGTTGCCACACAGTGTGCTATTTATTATTGCTCTTTTTCTCTGTAATGTCACCAGCCAGAAGGCCACATCACTTCAAGTCTTGCTTCAGTGACTAATGAAAGCATTTTTTAGGGGAAAGGGTATAAATTGAGAAAGGAGAAGTGGAGAGTGCCTTAACTTCACTGATGTGGGTCTGGTTCAACTTATCCAAGCAAGAAAACCATTAATTCAGCATCAGCACGCCAGTCCCTGAGTTGGGCTCTGGGCATACAGTGGTAAGGCCAGTGGGTGTGCCCCTGTTTTCCGAGGGCCTGTCGTCTAGCTTACCAGACAGCAGCTGCTCTCATATGCTGGGATCATCTGCCAATCAATAATAAGTCATAAAAACCATACTCTCTGAGCTACTTCTTGCTCTGAATTTCATGTCTTGGGAGGCATCAGATAAACAGAATTCACCTCTTGCTCCTGAAGATAGGTATTAATGGGGTCATCTGGTCCAGTCTCCTAGTTATAGTCAACAGACATCTGACGGATATTTATTAAATGTCCACAATGTACCAGACACAGTACTATACCCTGAAGAAGCAATAGCATGCACGAGACTGGGCCCTCCTGGAACTTACAGAGTATTGTGGGGAGTCAGATGGTATCAAATAATTACGCAAATAAATGTCGAACTGCAGTTGTGCTAAGGACTGTGAAGGAGGTCTGTGCAGCACTGTGAGAGTGTCAGACGAGGGATTTCCTGAGTCAGGGAGGTCAGGAAGACTTCCCTGGGACCAAGACTGAAGCTAAGATCTAACCCAGAAGGGTTCCAGGGGCAGGGAGGCGGGAAGAGTATTTCCAGGCAGAAGCATCGGCAAGTTCATTGTGGACTCCTGTTTTCCAGGTCTTCTCTCCAGACCTACATCTGTCTGTGAATGGGGACCAAAAATCTGCATTTTATTTTTTCGAACTTCCTGAGTGACTCTGATGCAACCCTGAGAAATTGCTCATTTTGAGAGCACAAGCTCTGTATTCTAACAGACTTCCAAACAGACCCTCTCCACCAGCTGGGTGACCCTGGGCAAGTTTCTCTCTAAGTATCAGTTTGACCTCATTTATAAAATTGGGATGACGTGTCTTTCAAGGAATATGAGGATGACATTCAATATAATGAGCATAAAAGAGTGTGCCACAGTGAGACGCACTGATGTGAGCATGCAGATTGGTGACATCCCACTTCCCTTTGCTCGGGAAGATGTCCAGGAACAAGGAATTGCATGGCCTGGTGGGATGCCTGGCACTCACACAGGGACAAATCAGAGGACTCTTGATGTATCTGCAATGCAAGATTTACCTTTGACTTCCCGAAGGGAAAAGTTTGTAAGGTGTTTGGACAGAATAGTATGAGAATTGGGGGTAAAGAAACAGTGGTTGGAAGTGGGGCTGGCTTCACACTGAAGAAGGAAGCAGACGGCTGCTTCCCAACATCTCATGGCTGGGGAGGACATTCTTCTCCCCATGAGCAGCTAAGGACCATGAACAACTGGAGACAGATGTCCATTGCTGGGGACAGTCGCATTGTTTAGGATCTTCCTTGTATCAAATCCATCCAGCTATCCCATATGTCAGTCAGGTCCTGGCAAGAAACAGGTGCACATTCAAAGGTGGTGACTGGAGAGAATTTATAAAGGAATTATGCACAAAGGTATGAACAGGGTCAATGGTGAACACCCCAAGCCAGCTACAGCCATCGACCACTGTGACTTCACCCCACTAGTCGTGAGGTGGCAGGGTAAGGGAGTGAGGTTACTGGAACCCAGCAGAAGCATTCACCTTGGCAGGGGGGTGAGCCAACAAAAGCATGGGGAGACACATGGCCATGTCCAGCTGGGGCCTGGTAGGCAGGGCGCCAGGGAAATTAATATTTTGACCCCTCTCCTGTCATCCTTCTACATTCTGCTAGAGCCTCCCATTGGCCAAGCCCAATCAGTAGCCAGAGGACAAGTACATAAAGAGCACATTAGGACGGTACATAAAGCCTCCCAGGGCACAGTGTGGGAGAGAGAAAAGATCCAAAAAGTAAATGGAGAATATATAGCACGTCACCTTGCAAAATAACATCTCATTGTTTCTGATACGGGTCTCTGTTCAAAGCACTCTACATTTACGTGTATTGCCTCTTTAATTTTCATGGTAAATTAAGAATAAAGTATATGCATGTCTATATGAGCACATGTACACGTGCGTGCACACACACACACACACACACACACACACACACACACACACAACTACCCTGCCAGGCTTTAGCAGCACAGCAGAAAGGCTGCAGCCTCTATTACTGCTTCTGTTTCAGCAAAGCCAACCCGCTGCCATAAAAAGGTGAATTATTTTGGTGACTATTAATATTGCAGCATTTAAAGAAGCTGCGGTGAGAAAATAGGACCAAGCGTGCAGTGTGCTCAGCTCCAGGCCGTTGACAGGGCGGGAGGGAGGCTGACCTGCTGCCTTTGCTGCGGTTCTCAGTTCTGCCCTGTCACTGTCTGCGTGGGCGGCATGTGGCGGGAGAAAGGAGGTGGCCTCCCTGAAAGCAGATTAGAGCACACAGCCCTCAGCACAGCCCAGAGCAGGAGTCCTCAAACTATGGCCCACAGGAGGACATTTATCCGGCCCGCAAGGTGTTTTTGCCACCGCTGCCTGTCCTGCTTAGCAGCCAACTCGTCCCGGGCCCACAGTGCGCATGTGTAGAATGTGCCCCACACTCTCCAACGGCCCTCCAACGGTCTGAGGGACAGTGAACTGGCCCCCTGTCTAAAAAGCTTGAGGAACCCTGGCCCAGAGCCACAGAGCCAGGAGAGAGCTTGTACTGTGACCAACAGCCGGGTCTTGGCAACGGAGACCTGCCTGGTTCTGCCTCATACTCGGGGAAGAATACAAAATCAGCAACATCCTCAGGAAATAAACGCGCACCTTAGCCTGTGGTTCTAGACTTTGGTATGCATAAAAGCCAGGCGGAAGGGCTTGATAAAAAGGCAGATTCCAGGGCCCCGCCTCCAAGTGGGGCTGATGGGGGACTGGGACTCTGTCCTTAGCACGTGCCTCCGTGATTGTGACATAAGCCATCTGTGGACCTCAAATGTATGGGTACTTCTGCATGGGCCTGTGTTTCCAGAGCTGGGAGGGACAACAGGCTGATTAGGCGGCCAAGTCTCTGAAGCTGATGGAAAGTGATGTGTGTACAATGCCCAAAGGCGGTGCTGGTGTGTAGCTCCAGGTCCGGGAGCAAGAATGAGAATCTTAGTTAAAGTGCCGGCCAGGAGTGATCAGAGGAAACAGCAAACAGAAACGGTGCTGGAGGACAGTCCCCACCCAGATGACAGAAATACTGCCTTCTCTGGGGGGAAAGTTGCTTTCAGGGAGGCTCCTCCTCCTGCTGAAGCCACGCCCCGCCACCCGGCCTTCAGGGTGGCCAGAGGGAAGGGGCTGGTTAACCCCTGCGAACTGGCAAAGCAGGCTACGGCCCCCACCTTGCTTCCTTCCCTAAAGGGCATGTTCACCGAGTCTCTTGATGCCAGGTCCTCTGAGAAATCTGACAAGGCTCCTTGGGATTGGCTGTCAGAGCAATGTGGAGTGCTTTCAGATCCTTGACTTGGAACTGGGTGACATAGGCTTATATCCAAGGCCTGGCATCCAGTATTTCTGTAACTTTGGACGCCATTCTACCTCTCAAAGCCTCCATTTCCAAATCGGTGAGATGGAAATAGTGAAGCCAGCTTCACTACCTTCACCCATGCGAAGACGAACTGAGATCTGGAGAAGCCCTGCAAACGGAAAAGAATAAAATATTTATCCAGTGCCTACAATCTGCAGATCCTGTGGTTTATATACATCATGCACAACGCTGCACCAATTAAAGTTGCTTTTATTTATTTCATAAACTTCAGGTTTAAGAACTCAAAAAGCCAATTTTCGAATTAGGAAATTTGGCTTGGAATGATATCGCTTAAGTGCTTTTCTGATTAAATTGCTGTCGTACTTTTCCCTCATTTGTATCCAGATCTCCCCAGTGGGACCTTTTTTTTTTTAGCCTGTTCTCCAGCAGGCCATGTGCTCCAGGTTGTAATAGGTATTCTGATCTCTGCTGCTCCACTCAGGAGCGCATAATGTATTTACTAGAGCAACATTTCCAGCGGCCTACACTTACGTCTCTGAGCTTCATTCATCCTCCTAGGTCCCAGAACACTAATTAGGCACTTAGACCCACAGGCTTCCTTCCGTGAGCGTCTCAGAGCTAACTTGGCTTAGCACCACCGCCCCGCCTCCCACCCAAAACGCAGCCCCGGTTCCCAGGCTTGCAACGGCCTCCTTCTCCGCCTGCCTGCGGCTCCTGAGCATCCTGAATCCTCCTCCCATGCTCTGCCTATAGTGCTCAGCCCTGTTAACCTGACACTTCTACCTGGAAACTCACTCTCAGGGACCTCTGCAATCTACTACATGGAGCTCCGGAGAGTGGAGAAACCACATCCTCCCGGCTTTGCTCCGGGGGCCATCTCCGCGAGAACACTGCTCTGCCCTGCAGAGCCCTGGGGTCACTCATTACACCGATTGGCCCGACCGTCCCTTCAGCTTCAGTTTCTAGGGTTTCTCTAAGCTCATGATGACAACCTACATTTGTATCAAGATTCCCAGTTTACAAAGGCTTTGCAGGACTATTATTTAATACGATTCTCATAACAATCTTATGGTGAGTGGCAAGTACCATCCCCCATTTTACAGATGATGAAACAGAGGCCACGGGTTTTGTCTAATTCAGTGGTTCTCAACCAGAGATGACTCTGCCCCCCCAGGAGATATTAGGCAACATCTGGAACATGCTTGATTGTCGTGATCGAGGGAACAAGATGTTATTGGCATCAAGCAGACAGAGGCCAGGGATGTGGTCAATGACCTACAATCTACAGGACGGCCTCCACAGCAAAACATCAGCAAAACATTGACCCAGAACATCAGTACTGTGGTGGTAGGGTTAAGAAACCCCAGTCTAAGGTCACTTAGCTTAGTTGTATGACCAGGATTCTAACCCAGATATTTGGATTCGAGCGGTCCCTGCTCTTCTCGGAGCCACCTGCCACTGCTGGGAGATCCTGCCATGGCCGTCAAATCCCCTTTGTACACTAGCTGTGAAAATTGGGGCAAGCCACCCATGATCTCTGAACTTCGTTTTTCCTAATCCGTAAAATGGTTATCCTAGAATGGTTAGAAAATTAATTGGCCTATCACATGTAAAGCACGTGCAAAAGAGTTCTAGCACACAGTAGATACACCTTATTCTGCCCCTCCCAATCTTCTCTCTTTCCTCAACTTGGACTCTCTTTCTCCTGCTGCCTCCAATATGAGCACAATTAACCTCACTGGTGGCCCTTGGGCTAACCCCAAACAGCCAACAGTGGGTTCCATGAAAGCAATGGATTATGCAAAGGGTGACGAGCTTGAGGGAAGGGAGGATAGCCTGGGCATGTTGAGTCTATTCAAGACCTTTCTCAGCTAAACTATGAAACCGGTAAATATTCCTTTTGGAGAGAGACCATGAATAGTTCAGCAGACACTTGCTGTGAAGTTCATGAGAGTGTGTACATGAAGACCCTGTATTTTGGCCACATAGAGCTGCAGCCAAATCCTGATTATACACAAGAGTTAAAAGAGAAAAAAGGCAGTGTTCAAAACTGGAATCCCCCAATAACTCCCAGTCAGTATTCTAGGTTAAGCATCCATTCATCTGGGGGTACCAGCCTGACTCAAGCACTAAGACAAACCTCGCCCTCTGCTCTCGCGGAAGCTCTCCCCAGAGCCCCAAGTCATGTCCAAAATGCTCCAGTGCATGCAGGTCTGTCCAGGGTAACCCCCAGGGGCCACACCACTCCCTCTCAATATACAAAAGGAGCCACCCCAATCCCGAAAGTGCAAAAGTAGCTCTGAGGAATGAGTTGATTCTAGGGTCATTCTGGGGGCTCTCCATTGAGACTGAGCAGAGCAGTAGATTCAGAATCATTCAAGAAGGAATTATGTGTCTGAGAAAGCTACCCGTTAGGAGTGGATCCACATCCCAAAAAGTGTCACCCCAGTGGCTGTGGGTTTCCACACCTTTCAGAAGAATCCAGACTGACTAACAAGTGTTGGTGAAGATGTGGAGAAGGTATTAGAACCCTCGTACACTGCAGCAGGAGTGTAAGATGGCACAGATGCTTGGCAAACAGCCGGCTTTTCCTCAAAAAGTTAAATATGGTCACCATAGAGCCCATCAATTTAACTCCTGGGTATATATACCCAAGAGAAATGAAATCACATGTCCACACAAAAAATTGTGCGTGGATGTTCATAGCAACATTGTTCATAATAGCCAAAAGGTAGAAACAATCCAAAAGTCCATTGGTTTATGATTCTATAAATAAAATGTGGTCGAGCTATACTGTCAAATAGTATTAGGCAATATAAAGGAATAAAGTATGAATACATGCTAAAACACAGATGAACATTGAAAACATTATGCTAAGTGAAAGAAGCCAGTCACAAAAGACCACACAGTGAATGATTGCATTCATATGAAATGTCCAGAATAGACAAGTCCTTGGAGACAGAAAATAAATGAATTGTTGCCTAGGGCTAAAGAGTTGAAGGGAAATGAAAAGTGATGGCAAATGTGCTCGAGGTTTCTTGTTGGGCGATTCAAATGTTCTAAATTGATTGTGGTGATGGTTGTATAACCCTGTGAATATACTAATTTAAGGTACATATTGACTATATACCTTAAATGGTGAACTGTATGGTATGTGAATTATATATAGCTCAATAAAGCTGAAGAAGAAGGAGGAAGAGGAGGAGGAGAAGGAGAGAGAAAGAGAAAGAATAAAGGGAGGAAGAAAAAGAAGGATCATCCAGGTTTTTGAATGCCCTTTGCCAGAGTCTCTCCGAAATATCTCATGTCCATTATCTAGTAGGAGGTGGCTTACAGTGTGGGTTCCAGAGTCAACGTTAGTGAGTTGAGTCACATAGGCTTCAGGGACATTATATCACTCCTTAATAAGTGACTCCTGGACTTCGGGTAGAATGTTCTGAACTATCCTCTATATAGTAATTCTGACTTTGCATCAGGTCACCTGGAGCAGCCGACCTCAGGCTTTTTGGCACCAGGGACTGGTTTCATAGAAGACAATTTTTCCACGGAGCTCAGGCGGTGATGGGAGCGATGGGGAGTGGCTGTAACTTCTGGTGAAGCTTCGTCAGCTCCAGCCGCTCATCTCCCGCTGTGTAGCCTGGTTCCTGACAGGCCATGGCCGCTACCGGTCCTCAGCACAGGGGTTGGGGGCCACAGGCCCGGAGGACTTGCTAGAGAACATACATTCCTAGGCCTCACCCCAGAGTGTCTGATTCAGTGGGGCTGAGTGGGGCCAGAGGATTTGCCTTTCTCACAAGTTCCCAGGTGACGCTGATGCTTCTGGTCCTAGAACTACACTCTGAAAACTACTAATCTAGTATTTAGTTCTTGAAAATCCCCAGGGCCTGTTGAGCAGACTTCCCAAATACCAGTAGAAATTCATAATTACGTGTGCATGTTAATATAAAAAACTTTATAAGTGAATTATCTGGTAATTATTTCTGAATGTTAATATAGAATTAGTAGCTGAAGTTTTGATGAAATGATGGAAGGAATTGCAGCACAGGAATCAGAAGACCTAGGGTCATATGCTTCCAGCTCTAGGAATTTGGGCCAAAATGTTCTCTAACCAATGTCCTCATCTGTGAAAAATGAATTCCACTAATGCTCCACTAATATAAAGTTGTGAGGAAGACACATGGTAACCTAGTGTAAAACACACAGTAAACTGTAATTGCATTAAATGTATGGTCTTTTTTTTTTTTTTTTTTTTTTTAGAGAGAGTCTCACACTATTGCTTGGGTTAGAGTTCAGTGACATCATCATAGCTCACAGCAACCTCAAACTCCTGAGCTCAAGCAATCCTCCTGTCTTAGCCTCCTGAATAGCTGGAACTATAGGCATGCATCACCACATCCAGCTAATTTTTCTATTTTTAGTAGAGATGGGGTCTCACTCTTGCTCAGGCTAGTCTCAAACTCCTGACCTCAAGTGATCCTCCTGCCTCGGCCTCCCAGACTGCTAGGATTACAGGAGTGAGCCACTGCGCCTGGCCAACGTTAAATGTATGTTCTTAAAGCCTGCTCATGGAAACCATTATCTGCGAGGCCACCCACAACTCTCCCAAAGGCCTTAGCAGTCAGTTTCTGGGATCCCCTGAGACGCTGCATGTGTTAGGTTGCTTTCAGCTCTAAGTAACAGGAATCTACACCCAAACTGACCTACAGCATAAACATGTTTACTTTTGCACATTAAAGGGAGTGCAGCTGTGGTAGCTCTAGCTGTAAGATGAGCAAGGTCTGCAGAGAATAGGGATCAGGCATGCCCTGGAAATTGTTGGGAAATAAATGTATAATAAAGTTGAATGCTTACAATAATCTGCATTGTCTCTTGGAGCTCTCTAAGGTTTAAAAGTACTCATAAGTCATGTCCAGAATGCAAGATGCAACTCATGAGCATCAGGATGATAAACTGAAAAAAAACCCTCTAGTGGATTGGTGCTCAACCCGTCTGCATGTGAGCATCCTCTGGGAGGAGATTTTCAGGACACCGTCATCTGAGCCCTGCTCAGAAACTTCCGATCCTATTGGTCCAGGAATCGCTCAGATGCAGGTGGTTTCCAAAAGATTCTCAGGGTATCAAGCAGAGTCCTACAGATGGTATATTTTAAAAACAAAGAAAGAAACAAAAGCTTCCCAGGTAATTCTTAAGTGCCGACAAGGTAGGGAACAATTGCTCCAGCATATAATAAATCACAGAGATCACTCTAAGCCAGGAGGACTTTAGCTGCCAGCACTGGGCAATTACTTAGGGACAGAAGTGGTGGGAGAATACAATGCTAAGAACAAAACTGAGACTCGCATAGCTGTTCGGCCCAGAGCTCTTCTTCTGGCTTCAGTAAACATGATCATCAGAGCAAATTGCATGCCCAGCACACACACACACACACACACACACACACACACACACACACACACACACACACACACACAGTTGCTTTATGCCCATATGTGACTTTGTTTCTTCCTCTATTCTACCTTGATGTTTAATCTAGACTTAATGCCATCTGGCACTATAGGTTGGGCAGAGGATGGGATTTTTAGTATGATTTTTCTCTGGCTCTACAATCCTTTGGCAAAGTGGCTTTTAAACACTGATGTGAGTAAGAATCACCTGGAAAACTTTTAAAATGTAGATACCTGGGCACCCCCCGTGAGGTTAGTAGATCTGAGATGATTTAGTAGGTCTGAGATGGAGCCAATGAGTCTACATTTTGACATGTGGACTTCAAAGATAATTGGTCTACAAGCACAATTTTAAGAAACTTTTATAAGGACAACCCTAATGAGAGATGGGGAATACTATGTGCTTAAAAGACACCCACAGATTTCAAAAGATTTGAACAGCCAGATCACCAAAGAATGCATACATGAGTAATATGAAAAGATGTTCAAAATTATTATCCATTAGGGAAATGAAAATCAAAGCCATACTGAAATATCACTACAAATGTATAAGAATGGCTTTAAAATGGAAAAAGAAATGGCAGTTTTCTGGTAGGGATACACAATGGTACCCCACTTTGGAAATCAGTTAGGCAGTTTCTTTTTTTTTTAGTTAGGCAGTTTCTTTTAAAGTTAAACCCACATTATCTTATAGTCCCATTCCTAGGAATTTACCTAAATGAAATAAAAATTTGTTCATATAAAAACATATACATAGATGTTTATATCAACTTTATTCATACTTTTACATAATTTATTATACATAGTGAATTTTCAAAAACTGGACAAAGCTTAAATGTCCTTCGTCTGATAAATATGTAAATAATCTGTGGTACATCCATACTGTGGAATATCACTCAGCAATAAAAAGGAACAAGGTACTGACACACACGACAGCATGGTTAAATCTCAAAAGCATTATGCTAACTGAAAGGAAAGCAAAGCCTGCATGTAGTATGATTTCATTTATTTGACATACTGAGCAAGGAAAAACCATAGGGACAGAAAGTAGATCAGCTGTCACCAGGGGCTGGGTGTGGGGGAGTATTTGACTACCAAGGGGCATAAGAAGAGGTTTAGGATTGATAGAGGCATTTTATGTCTTGATTATGGTACTAGTTATGTGATTAGCTAGTTATGTTAAACATTTTAAAAAGTGAATTTTATTATAAGTAAATTGTACCTCAATGTGAAAGGAACAAACACTGAAGGCTAAACAGTGTGTTCATTCAATGGATTAAACCCATTGCACTTTTGAGAGGAGAGCACAGTTTCTAAATGTGGCTGGGTCCAATTTCAACAGCTCAGGAGGATGTTTAAGTGCAGAGATAATGTCCAATTTCTCTCTCCATGGGCCCATTGTACTTCTGAATGCAACTTAAGAGTTCTCAGAGTAGCCCTGAAAATTGGTACGCCCATGCTTATACTAAAGGGTTAAGAGTTGTTGGGCTGAGATCTTAAAAAAAAAAAAAAACAACAAAAAACAACAGACATCCAGGTTTACAGAAATCTAAATGACTCCATCCCTTCAGTCTATTATTTTGGTGTTTTGAAATCTCTGTGTGGATATTTGTGTGGTCCTAGAAGGCTAGTTTGGAGAATAAATACAGGGGTTTGCTAGCAGGGGCGTGTGGGACAGAAAGAAGTAAGGTGCTGAGATGAGGGGCAAATATGCAGCTAATCAGTTTTTTCCAAGTGAATGTTTCTAAAGAGGCTGAAGGCTTTTATAACCTGTCTGCAAAGTTGTTCTTTCTCCAGGGAATTGCTTCGACTTACATATTCCTTGCATATTCCTAGAATTCCACCTTAAAACAAACTGAATGTCCTTATGGTTGATATCTCAGCACGGAAAAGTTTTGTTTAAGCAATGACACACTGCACTTGGATCCTGCTCACTCACATCTGGAAGCCACATGTCAGAGGCAGCTGTATAAAACAGCCCAGCAAACCTAGGGTGACACTTTCTGCCAAAAGCCCAGGCAGCATGGACCTCACTCTTCTGTGGGTGCTTCTGCCCCTGGTCTCCGTGGCCTGGGGCCAGTATGGCGACTACGGGTACCCGTACCAGCAGTACCATGACTACAGCGATGATGGGTGGGTGAATCTGAACCGGCAGGGCTTCAGCTACCAGTGTCCCCATGGGCAGGTGGTGGTGGCCGTGAGGAGCATCTTCAACAAGAAGGAAGGTTCCGACAGACAATGGAACTACGCCTGCATGCCCACGCCCCAGAGCCTCGGGGAACCCACGGAGTGCTGGTGGGAGGAGATCAACCGGGCTGGCATGGAATGGTAAGGGCAGCCGCTCACTCGGGCGGGGAACGTCTCTGCCTATCCCTCCCTCTGGGGGCTGCTTGACTCTCAAGGAACATCAGCACCCAAAGCCTGGGCAGATCCTACCCCAGCCTTGCCGTTGCATGCTCCGGGTGGGGCAGGGCTGCCGCAGAGCCCACTGCATTGCAGGACAAAACTCCAGGACGGGGAGTGTCCGTGGGAGGTAGACTTCTTTGTGGTTCTGTTCCTTCCAGAGGCAGCCCTACCTACTCTCAGTTTGGGCCAGGAGCCGGTGGGGGTCTGCGCAAAGGTTACCAGACTACAGAAAGATACGTACAGAAACTGAGAGTAAGAAACTTTACAGCAGTTGAGCATGGCTGTGCCATTGTCATTGTGTAGCAATTTATTTGTACTCTTTTACAAACATATTGGTCCACAATAGTTTGGGGGAAATAAGCAATTGGGCCCTCAGCACATATAGTTTGAGAAATAGTGATTTAGTGCAGTGAGTGGGGGAGAGAGGACAAAGAAATTTAAGCACCGGGAAATGAAATTAAACAGCTCTCTACTTCCCCGATTAAATGTGTTCTCACAATTATGAGTACTAAGGTCCTTCTCTCTGCCTGAATTTAAAGTGGGTTTCAGTGCTGGAAAAATCGTTTATTAAAGGCTTTTAGAGAGAGGTGCTGTCCTCTCCTGACTGCACTCTGTCCTAGTCAACCTAGTCAATGGCATGGAATTGATCAGAGCTTGCACAGCTCTGTCGGTTGTAACTGTCGCAGAGGTCCCAGCCCCATTCCCTGGTCAGGACCCCATCCTAGTAGCCATTGAAGACGAGGCCGATTATTCACAGCAGCCTAGACGGAGGCAGAACTGTGGAGGGGGTTGGAGGAGAGGGGAGGCTGACCAGGGGAAGGCAGGCCCAGGGCGGAGCAAGCCTCGCTGGCAGGCCGCCGCATGTGCTATCTGTAGAGCGAGCAGGGAGACTGTGAGACATCCCAGCAGGCACTCGGTGTCCTGAGGCTTGGGAGTGGTCAAGCATAAGCCCCAGGGCTCACACAACCACAGACCCACGATGGTGGGAGTCCAAGAGGAAAAGACATTGCTGGGTGGGGGAGCCAAGCAAGAGAGGGGGCCGCCAAGTAATCAAAACAGCTGCCATTTATTGAGTGCGTAAGGTGAGCTGGCACCATGCTAAGCGCTCTGTGTGGATTATCTCATTGAATGCTCAAAACAAACCTACACGTCATTATATAGGTAGACAAACCGCGGCCTGGAGATCAGATGTTTCATCAGCTGGACAGCTGGGATTTGGATCTACAGTCTTTGCTCCAAAGAGTTTGTGCTTAGCCAGAGTGGTGGGCTCCCGAGAGCCTGCTGCCTGCCGCAGCGTGGGCTCCCACCCCAGCGCTGAGCAGAGCCAGCGCCACAGCACCACGCTCCGGGCAGCTCTTCAGCTGGGGGCAGGGCAGGGCCATCTGCAAGATCACAGCCGAAGCCCAGCCCTGGACCAGCTTGGTTACCACAACCAATGAGGGGCTCAGCTGGCCCCTGCAAAGGATGGGGAGAGGACTCACACAGGCAGCTGCAGCTGGGGGAACCGGGCCGTGGTGGCTGCTTGGGCAGCCATTAAGTGACCATCCTCATCCGCCCCCACTGCCTCTGGCAAAGAGACTTAATTATCCAAAACCGCTTCTGCCAGATGGCTGACTCAGAGACCAGGCTCACCTTGAGCATGGTCTACAGTGACTCCCTGCAGCCAGGCCCATTGCCTGGCAGGTAGCATTAGAAATGACCTAGTTACAACCGGAGCTCAAGTCCTCCCATCTCAGGGGGGCCATCCCATGGGTGAAGCCCCTTTCTAACACCCCCTTTTAGAGCCACAGTAAAATAGCACTCTGCAAATCCTCAAACACTAGAGGAAGAGCCCTGGGCTTTGATTCAGGCGGCCTGGGGCTGGGTCCTGGTTCTAATGACAATGTGTGGTGTGACTTTGGCCAAGGCACTCAACCCTCCAGGCTGCTACCCCGTTTGGGAAATGAGCGTGTGGTCAGACAGCTCCACAGAGTGGCGGCTCACCCCTGAAAGTGCACTTGGCTTTTTCTTGCATTCTGTTCATCTTTGCGTCCCGCCCTGCTAGGGAGGGAAGCCAGAGGATGCTCAGTTTTAAACTTGCCAGCTTGTGCCTGGTTTGTCATGAACTCCCAGACTATTTGAAGAAAAGCAAAAGAGGAAGGAGGTGAAACAACACGATAGTGTTTGGTCCACGGGAGTCAAGTGAAAAGCTGACAGGTGGGGTAGCTCTTCCGCCTCCTCTCCCCCTGCATTGGTGAACATGCGGGGTCCAGTGATTTTTTTTTCCCTTTCCTTCCACCCTCTGTTGCCTCCTTCTTCCCCACCGCTAATCACAGGGTTGAAAACGCACAGACCTGCAATCAGCTTCTGTGCAGTAGTCCTCCACTGCCCCAGGACTGACACCAATTACCCCAGATGCACTTTTTAAGTGATTGTGACTTTGAGTTCAGACTCCAGTCCCAGTGAAAAATCTGGAAGGAAAGAAATTGCTCACAGGCTGGGAAGCGATTACATCCTACCGTTGGCTGCAGGCTCTTAATCTGTTCTGGGGGAAGACTTGTTGATAATTTTGTGCAATTTGGCTGCCTTGTACAACCAAATTAGCTTTCAGGTTTATTTTAAAAGAGGGGAGGAGCGTCGGACACAGACCTGACAACGGCACATAGGATCTGCTAAAGAAACTTGCTAATCGGGGCATGGTCTTTAAAAGGTGCTGCTGTCATAGCTGAGTGTGGCTCGTGGAGCTGCGTCTCACGGGTTCTCCTTGGAAACGACCTCTCCGGGTGCCAGATTCTGAAGCATGGGCACTGGCCTCTGCCACTAACAATGGCCAGGAGGATTTCCCTGGGGCCCTGGGAGTGGCATTTTGCCATCTCTGGGCTTGCCCAGGTTGTTCCCGGGGAGCCTGCTCTAACCTGGGTTGGCACAGGCTGCAGGACACCGGGTCCCGCGTGGAACAAGATGAAGCTGGAATTTCCCAGGGAGGCTGGCTGTCGCGTGGTGGGAAGAGCTCGGAGCCTGGGATCAGGAAACCTGGGTCCCCAGCTCCCACTCGTATCATGGCCTAGCGCTGTGGCATTCGGCTCCTCCTTCTGGCAAAAAAGAAAGGTGTGACACCCACCTCACAAGCTGTCAGAGGGTGTTGCTGCGACGCTTACAGGAGAAAGTGTAGGTCGGAGAACTCCAAAGCAAATCTAAACCTAGTCCAAACGCGGGCACCCCACGGCGGGCAGTGGAGGTTCAGGGAGTCTGGAGCGGACGTGGCTTTTGTTGGGCAAGCCAGCCTGACTCGGAGTTGGAAGTCAGAGGAAAAGCGCTCTGTGTATTGGCCCCTGCTTTTTCACCCTGGGCTTCAAAGAATCTCAAGGAGACATTTTTCAGTGGCGGTTTGTGTTAGAACTCAATTTATGGATTCACCCATGACGAGCCCCACGGTGGGGAAGAGGAGGAAGGAAAACTATGCCACAGGGCTAAGCTAGCATCAAGGACAATTTGAAGCTGGACGGGTTGGTGGGGAACTCAGTTTTCCATCATCTGACTATTTCCAGACTCTACCCAAGACCAGGGCTCTGCATAGCACAGAGCCGCCATCCCCGTTCACGGTCCTGAGCGTTCAGCCTGCACAGCGCCCGCCTGCTCAGAGAGGCTTTCCGGGACCACCTCCTCCAACCCACGCCTCCCACCCCTGCTCCCTCGGCCTGCCTCGCTCCCTACAGTGCACTTGTTGCCTCCTGATCTGTGTTTGGTTGTTGTTTGTCTCCCTCACCAAAATACGAGCTTCACGAACACAGGGCCTTTGTCCCATTGGCCACTGTTCCCCCAGTGCCTAGAATACCGCTGGCACATAGGAGGCCCGAGTAAATATGTGGTGGAAGACTGAATCAGACTAGCTGGTGCCAATCCCAGCCAGTGTCCCCACCGCCCGCGATAAAGAAGCCGACAGATTTTCCCACGGGGCAAACTGTTTTGCTTGCACCTTTAATTCTCAATATTCCAGCGTCTGTCATGTGTGTTTGGGGTTCAACTTTATTGTTTGCATCTCATTTTGGTTTGTTGCATTTACCATGATCTTTTTAGATTTCCCTAAGGATCTCTAAAACATGCATAGTGGGGGTGGTATGCACTTTGTTACTGCAGAATCAAGTCTTTATTAGGTTTCCATTCTCCCAATAATCTTAATGTTTCAATATATGTAAAAAATAGAATAGTGAAATTTTTATTTCAAAAACCATAAGGACTAAATGCTACACATTAGCCTATCTTTGGTTTGGATCCTGGGACAGGAAAAGGACATTTGTGAGAAAACTGATAATATCCAAATAAAGCCTGTAATTTAGTGCTGTACCAATGTCACTGTGCTGAACAATATCACAATGTTCATAAACATGCCTGAGTTATGAAAGATAACATTAGGGGAAGCTGGGTGAAGGGTATCTAAGAATTTATGTATTATGATTACCACTCTTCTGTAAATATAAAATTACTTCAAAACAAAAAGATCAAAAACCAAACATAAGAATGCAGGGAATACAGAGCATAACACAATCCAAGAATCTCAGCACTAGATGGGCCTCAGGTATAATCTAAGGCAGGGGGCCTCAAACTTTTTAAACAGGGGGCCATTCACTGCCCCTCAGACCGTTGGAGGGCCGTTGGAGAGTGCGGCGCACATTCCACACATGCGCACTGTGGGCCCGGGACGAGTCGGCTGCTAAGCAGGACAGGCAGCGGTGGCAAAAACACCCGGTGGGGCAGCACATGGTCTGCAGGCTGTAGTTTGAGGATGCCTGATCTAGAGCAAGCTTCTTACATCATGGTTTAGGGATTAAGGCCAAGGGAGTGGAGCAATTAAGTAAGTGAAAGAAATTATTATATTAAATATAGGTTCTATGATACAACCTTAATTCATGTGATTTATAGTTTATAATATATTTATTTACAAA